GACTGAAACAAGCCCTCACGTCTACTTTACCAAGCTCAGGACCCACACCAGACAGAAAAGCAGTCTGCATGGCTCAGAAACAGCGTGAGGCAGACAAAAAGCCTGGGGTAAAAGGTGATGGGTGAGACATACAACAGAACACCTACTATCTGGGAGGGAAAGCCATGAAGAGAACTTCCTTGGGAAATTAGGGCATTCAAAAGCACCTCCATGTGCTACGGAATTCAGAAACCAGGCACACACCCAGTACAGGATGCATGCTCAGAAAATACCCAAGAAGACACTAAGCCTTCGCCACTGGCTGATCTGTAGGCTCAGTGCATGCTTGCATGTTAAGTCACTTCAACTCTGTGACCCCATGGACTTTAGCCTGCCAGGCTTCTCTGTCCATAGGACTTCCCAGGCAAGAATACTGGAGTGGGTTGCCATTTCCTCCACCGGGGGATCTTCCCGACCCAGGGATCGAACCTGAGTCTCCTGTGGCTGCTGCAGCACAGGCAGACTCTTTACCACTGCGCCACCAGGCTCGGTGCAGCGCTGGCTAAATGCTGAAGGTGCTAGCATACAGCTGAAGCTCAGGAGAGACTGTTGTTTGCTCCTGGTGTTCAGGGAAATCTCTGTCAAAACAATAGCTGAACACAAGCTAAAGGAACAGAGACTTCAGTGACCAAACATGACAAGGAATACAGTTTTTGCAAAAATAATCTGGAACTAAACACATGGACAACTACAGCCTTTGACAATCACAAACAGCACACTATGGGGAAGACAGAGAATCTGATTTCCAAAGTACTACATTATAATATTTGCACATCCAATTTTCATCAAAAACACAAATAATACAAAGAAACAGGAAAGTATACAAAGCGAAAAAAATTGAATTAAATTGTCCCTGAGGACACCTAGATACTGAATTTACTAAACAAAGACTTTAAACCAACTGTCTTATGGTCTAAGACATAGCGTAAACCATGAGCAAAGAAGTAAAGGAAATTAGGAAAACAATGTATGAACAAAATGAGAATATCATAAAGAGGTAGAAATTATGAAAGGCCACCAAATAGAAATTCTGGAGCTGCAAAGTACAACTAAAATGAAAAATTTGTTACAGGAGTTTAACAAAACTAAGCAGATAGAAAAAAGAATCAGCAGATTTTAAATGTTCCAAATTTGATAAAAGATATGAATCTACACATCCAAGAAGACCAACAAACTCCAAACAGGAGAAACTCAAAGAGATTCATGTTGAAGATGTGTTATAGTTAAACTATCAAAAGTCAAAGTCAACAGAAGCAGCAAGAGGAAAGCAACTCTTCACATGTAAGCCGTTTTTAATAAGACGAACAGCTTATTTCTCACAAAAATCATGGAGGTCAGAAGACAGTGAGAGAACATGTTTAAAATGCTATAAGAGAAAACAAAAATCTGTCAAGTAAGAATTCTATATCTAGAAAGAATGGAGGAGTAATCAAGACTTTCCTAGATAAAAATTAAAGGAATCTGTTGCTAGCAACTCTGCCCTCCAAGAGATGCTAAGGGAACCCTTCAGGTTAAAACGACAGGAAATTAGACAGTGACTCAAAGCTACATGGAGAAATACGGGACACTTACAGCAAATACGTCCTTGTTTTTCTTTGTTATGGCTCAGCTTGTATTTCCCTTATTCTCTTTTCTCTCTGCCTTAATTTCATTCTCTTTGAAAGAGAGGTAATATGACTAAATAATAAAGAACTCAGCAATAGGAGTTAGAACGCCTATACTAAATCATGCTCCACTCATTTGGAGGCTATGAATCTGAAGGCAAATTACTAAACGTTTGGAGGACTAAATTTTTATGAAAAATAGGGGAAATATTCTGACTCTCATAGGTTGTTAGAATTAACAGCAATTCTGAATGTGTTAGATTTTTTTCACACACAATTCAAGTAAAAACTGAACACAGTAGTCTCTTCTTTCTCTGTTCCTTAAACTGGCCACAGAGTTATACTGTTTTCCTGTTTATGTTAGTTTTACTATTTGTTATAATATTAATAATTGTACTGATAACTGCTATTAATTGAAGGAACTCTAAGGCAAACTGCTGACATTTACAGGAAGATGGTTTTACATTAGCAGCAATCCACATAATGCTGTCTTTTACTTTTTTTCCAGGGATTTGGGTCAGAATACCTCTGCTGAACGTGTATACTTCCAGAGAAGACCTGAGGTGCAGGTAAACAGTGAATAATGATAATAATCACCATCATGGGGAATTCCGTGGCTCCATGCTTTCACTACTAATAGTGCGAGTCTGATCCCTGGTTGGGAAACCAAGATTCCCACAAGCAGCAGGAACCAATACACGTACTGCTTACCACGTGCCAGGCTATTCCAGTAAGGCAGGTATACTAGTATTTGTTTTTAAAATGGAGGAAACTGACGCACAGTGAAGGGAAGGGACTTGGACAATATTACATCACTCATAGATAGCAGAGTTGAGATGAAGCAAGCTCTTTATAATGGGCTTGGGTAGTTAAAAACTCTTAACAGGTCTACAGAGAACAACAAAGACTGAGATCATCACAGTGGGGGGAGAGGAGGCCACAAAAGAAACTGCCTTGTGCCAGGGCAAAAAGTCGCAAGTAAACTCTCCCTGCTTTTTACCACCCATCTGTCAGGCTTTTAAAATGCTGTGTTGAGAAGAGAAGGAATGAGAAGAGATTTGAGAAGTTTTAAACTCTGAGTTTTGCTATATGAGGTTTGGACTAGAGCTTCACTTTGCTTCCATGGTGCAGGGTCAACAAAATCACCCAATATTCTCCAGCCAAGTGGTTTCTGTCTTAATTTCCTTTATCCAGTTATAGGGAGGTAGGTCCTAGCAGCCCTAACTTATTTGGAGTTTGTTACAAGTTTATTCATTCAACAATCATTTAGTGCTAAAAGCCTGTGCTAGGTGTTGTTGAAATAACGATAAATAAAACATGATCCTACTCTTTGAATGGCTCACAGTCTGGTGGGCATGAGAAATACAAACAAAAAAATATTTAAACCAGAGGGAGTCTGGAGATGGGAGCCGTTAGCTTTCTCTAAAGATGGAAGATCTAAGAGGCACTGACCATACAAAACTGTCTACAAAGTGGCAATTCAACCTAAGAGAGGATATTTGAGCTGGTTCTTGCTGGGTGAAAAGGAAGGGAAAGGAAAGATTGGAGGCAAGTACAGAGGAGGCCACGGCTCAGTAACTTACAAGTGGACACTGTGTGCCTCTCATACTCATTCTACATAAAGCAGGAAATGAAAACATAGGTGACAACACTTCGATTTTTCTTGAAATTAGAGCATTATTATCTCTACTTCATAGGACAATTAAAAGTTTAAAGTATCTTTTCTTGAATCCACTAATGTAATACTTTTTCCAAACTAAGAAGTGATAAAAATGTAAAAACTCTCAAAATCTCCCAGCCATAAAATGTACAACATAAATACAAAATGCTAGAAATTCTGATACATATTCAGTGATACAGATCTCAGATTTCCTGGGTTAGCTAGGAGCCCACAGGACTATGGAGGTTTTTCAAGTGTGGTTATTTAAAAGTTATAATTTTGTTTGGCATTTTCCATGGGATTAGTCATGGGTAGTAAGTGAAGATTGCAAAGTCTGAAGTACTTAGGTGCTCAATGTATTTATCTTTTCGTGGACTTCATAAACCACTTAGCTGGCAGTTTCTGTTTAAAACTCACAAGCATTCTTTCATCTGTTTAACCTGTCATTATGTGGCTGCTTAGCACCAAGCCAGACCTTGCAAGACCATGTTGGGAAAACAAACTCGTCAGAAAACTTGCTTCCAATTAGGTCGTTGACCTACTGCCAATTTTGTTTAACCAATGAATTTTGACTTTAAGAAAGATCAGTCTTCTCTGAACAGAATCTTCACTGAATAGAATCAATTCCACTGCCAGACTCAAACTCCCTACCCCAGACAGCAAGAAGTGTGCTCCTAGTCAGATTCACTGTATTCTAGAGCAGCGCCAATGAACAGAAGCACAACAGCGGGCCATTCTGTGTGCTTGTTTTGCCACGTTTCCTTCCCTAGTTATACACTTCCACTCTCAAATCTCCACCAACAAACACCACATTGGAACGTATATTAAGACTCCTACTGTGGCAATTCCCTGGTGGTCCAGTGGTTAAGACTCCATGCTTCCACCGTAGAGGGTATGGGTTCAATCCCTGGTTGAGAAACTAAGACCCCACATGCTGTGTGGTGTGGCCAAAAAAGTAAAAACAAACAAACAAAAAAAAGAATCCTACTATTTATCTTGAATGTCAAAGATGCCAATATGAGAGTTTCGACTTTCAGTAAGCTTATTTCCCCAAATCCTGTTGTTTCATTTCCCGCCCAGGGTTATTAAAAAGCACAGTCTGTTATGGAAAAACCACAGTAAAAGCTGGACTTACATCACAACCAAACAGTGGCAGTTGGTAAATGATTTGATGTGAAGTAATATAAAAAGTTCTCTTAAACCTATTAAGGGAAACATAACTAATTTATAGAAAAAAATCCTTTAATATTCTGATATAAGTGCTTGCTTTCGTAGTTCCACTGCATAACTTTTTAATATTCTTAACTTAATACTATTTAAATAAAAATTAGGAAACCAAAATCCTTTCCTAGCCCCAGGACAGCAACCTTTTTCTGCAAAGGGTCAAAAAATAATTATTTTAGGTTTGGTTGCGGGATGGGGCAGGATCTATACCATTTGTGTCACAACTAACGTTCTTGTGGCGAGAAAGCAACAGCACAGACCATACTTACATAAGAGTGTGGACAGGCTCCGATAAAACCTTATTTATTCTAGTATCTTACACAGGGAAATGCAAACTATCCTTTAAATGAAAGAACAGCTTTAAAAAACAAAACAAAACACAGCGGGAGGAGGGAAGAGGGGGATGAAGTAAGAGAGGAAGAAATTAAAACACACAGAATCAATTAGGTGAAGGGTTAACTCCATTAGGTTACCTTCTGCGGATCTGAATTCTTCTCCCACTGAAGCACTTTTTATACCCAGGTTATCATCACTGTCACATTCTGTAAGGAAGAATCAATAAATGCAAATGTACTTCTGAAAAAGTTACTGTGCTATTAATTTATGTACTCTAAAATGGTATGACTTTCAATGTCTCCTCCCATACCCAAGCTTACTAATTACAATCCATTAGTATTACACAACTTTCCCTAGTATTTTTTAAAAAATGATTATCAAATACTACTACTTAAATCAAGAAAAAATAAAAATGAAATAGGTAATTCACTTTTAGCTCTATATTAAAAAAATTATTTGAAAAAGTTTTTTTGTATGTTTAGGAAATAAGTTTCAGTATTTTTTTTTAAAACTGTAAATTTGAAAAAGCTAATATATTTGGATCCAGCAAGTAAACTCCAAAGTTTCATTGGCATTAAATCATCTTTAAAAGATTTTTTAGTGGTGACAGAAAAAATTCTCCTGTAGTTTGAAAATCATAAGCATTCATCTCTATAGAGACGCAGGTTTATTATTAATAATGCCTCTGCATGCCACAAACTCAGTTGATGTCTTCTATGCTTACTAGTGAGAGCCCTAAGGCTTTGAAATAATGACATGGTTGACAAAAGCCACTGAAAACATGAACATGGCACCACCAGGGACCTGGCTCTCACTTTCACTACATTTGTATCAATTTCTATCAGAGTGACTGAATCAGGGTTTAAATAACTGGATACAAATCATATGGACACATATATGAAAATATGTAACATACTAAAATATACATTTAAAAATTAATCAATTTACCATAGTCTACAAATAGAAACCACTGTATAACTCTTATATTCCTTTAGTGCAAAAATTTATTATGTCATCTTTTGCTATTCCAGCAAAGACAATGTTTTTTTCTACAATATCTTATATACACTTACTACTTCAAATATTTTAAGCTATGTTTTAGTGAAATAAAACATTATATTTACAATTTGAAGAACAGAAAAATTAATTCTTCAAACATTAGGAACAAAGAAAATGCCCAAGCTTTCCATTATTATAATTCAAAGTCAAGGCCAGTCAAAAGCAGCATGTTGTAACTGGTCTAAATAATCCACCACTGCAGTGAAGACCTATGTAGGCCTGAGGGCTACGAGTCTGACACTAGGCTGTAAACATTTTTTAAGGTTTCTTTTGCCTCAATCAGCACCACCCACAGAACACAGAAAATCATGAATAATTTTTTCTGTCTTCAGTACCCTGCATAGAATTAACTGTATCATATGGAAAGAGGCAGACAGAAGCTCAGAATTAGGTTTAACAGCTATTTCACATAATGCCTATTCAACAGGGCACGCCACTGCTTCAGTCACCTACACTTTCACAGCAGGGGTAAACTCATGTGCTCAGTTTTCAAGATGGCTTTAGAAACCTGTGTAATTGGTACTAACCTCCATCCCATTCATTTCAAAATGAAGACACAAACCAAAAAAATACAACAAAGTCCCAGGGTCATAAACCAGATGGCCACGGACAGTGTTCAGATTCAACAAAAATCTTTTTGAAACGTACTATGTTTTAAACAGACTTTACTAAAGTAAAGTCTTTAAACAGTAAACAGACTTTACTAAAGTCTGTTTTCAATTTGAATTCAGTAATTCATAACAGCCTATGCTCTAGTTCACCCTTGTATTACTGAGGAAAAAATATTCTAGGAAAGTTCAAACTTTATATAAAATTCAAAGGAAGATGTTTCATTACTGAAGAACTATAAACACCTAAATACACAAAACTGTTTTTAAAGAGAAAATCTGACATAAAGGAAAACAATATTCTTGAACTAACATATAAGATAATGTCAAGTTCTTTACACAAACAGATCTTTAAGAGCTTATATAAAACCAAGTAGCAGTTATTCTATCTTAGAGCGCGTGACAACCAGGAGCACCATCACACAGCGCAGATAAAAAGGACGCCGACCTGGCTCCTCTGACGCAGCCTGCCTCACGCACTGTGACTGCAGTTGTACAGTCCAGAGAAGAAAACAGGGCCTCCTAGTTCACTTACAAAAGATCCTAGGGAACTTACGATGACAAGTCGGCTATGTTTGACACACAACCAGCTTACTTTTTAAAGGACCAGAATGCATAATCAAATCTTTTTATCTTCTACAAAGAGAAAAAGCATCTTCCTGTTAATTTCTGAAGCGTTCATAGTTGGTATCTACACATACTCTGCAAAGTCATTAGACTGCAGCAGAGCGTCTCTCCTTTTCATTCTTCAAGGACGTGGTAACAGCCAACAATGCACACTGGATTCTCCACAACATAAAATCGGGGCTTCGCATCAATGAGAACCTCAGTCTTCGCAGACGATGGCTCTGGCCCCAGCCAGCTATTTCAACATGGGCCTCTGTTCCGCCATGTACGAAAGGGGGCAACCTAACACATCCCACCTCACAGTGATGCAAGAAGGATTAAATAACACGCGGAAGAAGCTCTTTGAATGTTATAAACATCTTCAACACTACAAATACAAAAAACACCTAGCATGGCAGTTGGCACACAGTAGGTCCTCAGTAAAAAGATGAGTTTCCCTTTTTCTTCTTTAAAACAACACTGAAGTGACAAGTGATGACTGCATCGTTGAAATATGGGGCTTGAGTTAGAGTGAACACATATTTGTGAATAAAATGTGAAAGTTTAAAAAAAAAGAAAAAGCCTACCAGGCTCCTCTGACCAGGATCACTAGAAAGCATCCATGTATCTTGGTAAACTTTTAAAAAGTGAAAATCAGTACAATATAAAATAGAACTAATAGAAGGACAAGGGGGCCATGGTGTCAATTCAGGACAGGTTAATATTTTTACATGTCTCCACAGGGATACACACATACTGTAATCAAAATGCTGGTGCTGGAACCCTGATGCATAGGAGACTGAGTTTACAGGGCAAAAACCATGACACATTCAAATCTCAATCTTAATTTAAAGGCTAATCTTGCTACAGACAGTAACCGATTGATCCCAAACAGTACCCACAGTAACATTCTGTACCTATGAGCGTGTGCAGGATGCATGCTGATGTTTGTGCACTGAGAGATGCTTCTCAGTTCTAATGTATATTAAATACCATTTCTTAACAAAAACTATTATTATTCTTAAGGCCATTTGTTAGGAAAGGTGAAGGAATAACGTTACCCACAAAATCACTGGTCTTTGATTTTCCAATTAGTTATAAAGTTTATTACCAGGCCTTTCACAGTCTTCCATGAAGGGAAAAAAAGATAACTGTCTTAAATTAAACTGAATCTGAACATACTATGATTCAGTATAACACTGTTTGAAATTTCAGAGTTACAAAAGCATCTTTAAATTCAGACCTAAATGAAATATGTGACTTAAAGGCTATACTTCTTTGGCCACTTAATTTTAATAACTTTCATTAATTTTAAAATGCATTGGCTTTAGCACATGAAAAGATGCTCATTTGGAAAATGGAAATGACCAAAATGAGACACCACTATGTACCCATTAGGATGGTTATTATCCAAAACAAAAATCAGAAAATAACAATTGTTGGCAAGGATGTAGAGAAACTGAAGTCTTCATGACCTATTGGTGGGAATGTAAAAAATTATAGTCCATGTGGAAAATAGTATGGAGGTTTCTCAAAAAATTAGAAACAGAACCGCCATGTGGCCCAGCAACCACACGTCTGGGCAGGTACTCACAGAAACTGAAAGCAGGATCTGGGAGAAATGTCCACCCCCATGTTTACAGCAACATGGTTCACAACAGCTGAAGCGTGGACACACAGCAAGTGTCTACCAGCGGGTAAATGGATAGCAAAAGGGGTACAGACATACAAAGGAGTACTACTCAGCCTTAAAGAGGACCCTTCGACACAGGCTATAACATGGGCAAAACCTGAGGAAACGTTTTTCTCAGTGAAATAATAAGCCAGTCACAAAAATAGAAAGGCAGCATGATTTCACTTACAGGACACACTCAGGATAGTCAAATTCATAGATAGGAGACAGAATGCTGGCTCCCCAGGGGCTGGGGGAAGGACAGTGGGGAGTTATTGTTTAACGGGCATGGGGTTTCAGTTTTCAAGATGAAAGGAGTTCTGGGGATGGATGGTGGTGATGGCCACACAACAATGTGAATGCAGTTAACACCACACACAGGTTTCCTAGGTGGCTCAGTGGTAAAGAATCTGCCTGCAATGTAGGAGATCTGGGTTTGATCCCTGGGTTGAGAAGATCCCGTGGAGAAGGAAATGGAAACTCATTCTAATATTTTTGCCTGGAAAAACCCATGAACACAGCAGCCTGGCAGGCTACAGTCCATGCGGTCACAAAGAGTCAGACGTGACTGAGTGACATTTCAGAATGGTTAACGTGGTAAATCTTACATGTGAAAGTATTAAGTTGCTCAGTCGTGTCCAACCCTGAAACCCTACAGACTGTAGTCCCCACAGGCTCCTCTGTCCATGGAATTCTCCAGGCAAGAATACTGGAGTGAGTAACCATTCCCTTCTCCAAGGTATATTCCCAACCCAGGGATCGAACCTGGGTCTCCTACATTGCAGCTGGGCTCTTTACCATCTGAGTCATCAGGGAAGCCCAATCTTATGTATATTTTAGTACAATTTAAAAAAGAAAACAGTGGAAAGAAAATCTAAAAATATACATATAGTGGCTGGGAATCATGTTTCCTTTTTATGTCAGTCAGTTCAGTCGCTCAGTCATGTCCGACTCTTTGCGACCCCATGGACTGCAGCACGCCAGGCCTCCCTGTCCATCAACAACTCCTGGAGTCCACCCAAACCCATGTCCATTGAGTCGGTGATGCCATCCAACCATCTCATCTTCTGTCATCCCCTTCTCCTCCTGCCCTCAATGTTTCCCAGCATCAGGGTCTTTCCCAATGAGTCAGTTCTTCACATCAGGTGGCCCAAGTATTGGAATTTCAGCTTCAGCATCAGTCCTTCCAATGAATATTCAGGACTGATCTCCTTTAGGATGGACTGGCTGGGTCTCCGTGCAGTCCAAGGGACTCTCAAGAGTCTTCTCCAATACCACAGTGCAAAAAGAATCAATTCTTCTGTGCTCAGCTTTCTTTATAGTCCAACTCTCACATCCATACGTGACCACTGGAAAAACCATAGCCTTGACTAGATGGACCTTTGTTGGCAAAGTAATATCTCTGCTTTTTAATATATTGTCTAGATTGGTCATAACTTTCCTTCCAAGGAGTAAGCGTCTTTTAATTTCATGGCTGCAATCATCATCTGCAGTGATTTTGGAGCCCAGAAAAATAAAGTCAGCCACTGTTTCTACTGTTTCCCCATCTATTTGCCATGAAGTGATGGGACCAGATGCCATGATCTTAGTTTTCTGGAATGTTGAGCTTTAAGCCAACTTTTTCACTCTCCTCTTTCAATTTCATCAAGAGGCTCTTTAGTTCTTCTTCACGTTCTGCCATAAGGGTGGTGTCATCTGCATATCTGAGGTTATTGATATTTCTCCTGGCAATCTTGATTCCAGCTTGTGCTTCCTCCAGCCCAGTGTTTCTCATGATGTACTCTGCATATAAGTTAAACAAGCAGGGTGACAATATACAGCCTTGACGTACTCCTTTTCCTATTTGGAACCAGTCTGTTGTTCCATGTCCAGTTCTAACTGTTGCTTCCTGACCTGCATACAGATTTCTCAAGAGACAGGTAAGGTGGTCTGGTATTCCCATCTCTTTAAGAATTTTCCACAGTTTATTGTGATCCACATAGTCAAAGGCTTTGGCAGAGTCAATAATTAATAATACCTGCCATTTACTGAGCACCTATGTGCTTTCTGGGCTTCCCTGATAGCTCAGTTAGTAAAGAATCTGCCTGCAATGCAGGAGACCTGGGTTCAATCCTTGGGTTGGGAAGATGCCCTAGAGAAGGGAAAGGCTACCCACTCCAGTATTCTGGCCTGGAGAATTCCATGGACTGTATAGTCCATGGGGTCGCAGAGAGTCAGACACAACTGAGCGACTTTCACTTCACTTCACTATGCACTGTCCTACTCTAGACACTATACGTATCACTAATTCTTACAAACTTAGAGATATGAAAGTGAGACTCACAAAAAGTTGAATAACTTGCCTGAAATCAGAAGCAGCAACGTTAGCATTTGAACAAAAGCCCATGCCCTTCTTTATACACCGCATTGCCTCTGTTTATCACAAAAATTCAAAATAAAGTACACATGTGCCCCCAAAGAGCAGTAAGTTGAAATGAGCACTGACTATGAGTAAATGATTTTAAAAATATATAGAGTATAAGAAATATTCATAAAAGAACTTCGGTATATAACAATAACCTACACCTTACCTCTAACCCTAACATACCCATGCAGACCTATTTATATGCAGCTTTCACTCCAAATAAAGTTGAAAGAAAGGCAAATCATAACAGGTCTCAATACCAAAGCAATGCTCCCAAGAGCAGCAGGACGAAGACAAGGGGGTCGGCTTAGGTGGCAAAGGTAAAAATTAAATATTTTATGAGATATTACGTAGATGTTTTTAAGGATCGGGGAAGGGATGGTATAAAGAATGGAAGAAAAAGCAGTTAAAAAAGCCACGGACACAGGGAATTCGACTCAGTACTCAGCAATGCCCTATATGGGAAAAGAATCTAAAAAAGAGGGTTTACAGGTGTTATGTATAACTAAGTCACTTGGCTGTACACCTGAAACTAACAGAACACTGCAAATCAACTATACTCCAATAGAAATATTAATTAAAATTTTTTTTAAAAGAAAGAAAAGGAAAAAAAGCCACAAACAGAAAAAGCAAGTGAATGAAAACAAAAACTACAGAATAGGAAGATAGAAATCAGTGCTAAAATATGACATAAATAAGCAAAATAGAGTTGACTTTCCTTTCAAGAGCACGAGTGTGCCAGCAGCTTAATGGTTCCTAACTTTGAACTGATCCATTGCAATGAGTGATCAGAGCAAAGTTCTTCAGAATAGATCTTCAGTCAAAATGTGGCTCTACATATATGATATGAAGAAATTAGCAAGGAGGAGGGCATACTTGGGAAATGTAAAGGCAAATAATAAACATTCCAAGAAGTAGTCAGTTTCTCATTGAAGTCATTCATCAATACCTTCAAACTCTTTCCATGGCTGCAACTTATTAGGATATTTAAAAACTATTCTTTTAGTCTCTCCTACCCACATTTACTTCAGAAATTAAAAAAACACACAACCATCTGGGTCCCTAGAATTACACCCTTTCCTAAATATGGGTTAGTTAAACCGGCCACCACATGCGTTCCCTGAGCAATCTCAGAAAGGCAGAGAGAGTGCAGCACAGGGGCCCCTGGCCCCTCAAAGTGATAAAGGCCGCCCAGGGCTGCATCCCGTCACTGTCAACCTCCTAAACGCTCTTTTTTTTAGTATTGCCATATTTACTGCTTTCCGGTTTCTCCTATAAGCACTTTGCTTTCTGAAAAACTGAAGATCAATTTAGAATTTCCAAAACAAAATGAAGATCCAGATTCTGAGCTTTGCAAAACTCTAATAGCATATTTCAAATCATTAAGTATATGAATATAAATTTTATCCTTTAGACGAAAAAGGGCTCCAGAAAATCACGAATTCATTCTCCTTCTAATACACTCAAAATGAAAGCAGATAGGGAATGAAGCACAACAGAAGCATGCGCGCGTGGCGGTTTAGTAAGCAGGCGGCGGGGCGGTAGTGGACAGCAGTTTATTGGCGTCTCTCAGCAGTGAAGTCTCCTCCTTTTGGGCGGTTTGCCCCGAGGCTGCAGCTGCATACCTTTGGTGGTGTCAGATATGCTATTTAACAAGGCACACATCATATCTCCCTCTAAGTGGTGAGGGTTGAGTATATGTGCTGGCCTCTGAGTCTTCTTAAACTGATTCTCTAGCTCCAGAAAACCTTGATCTCCTGAGAGGATGGTGAAAGGAATCTGCTTGGGCAGCTGTTCATCTAGACGGCCAGCCTAAGTTGGAACAAATGGCACACATCAAATCAGCATCTGTGCTTCCAATCACGTTACAGCTATTTCAGAATGAAAGCCTACCTAGAAAGGTGTATTCAGTATGTCCCCTTGCTCCCACTAAAGTATGATATAAAGATCTCATTCACAAATAAAATATTGTAATACCATATTTAAAAAATGTAAAGTGCTGTCAATTTTAAGATAAACTGTTTAATGTGCCACTAAGAGAGAAAGAAAAAGGAGAAGGACCCATATAAAGGTGGAACAGTAACAGGGCTAAAGTAAGCAAAGTAACAGTAAGGCAAGCAAGCTCAACCTTAAAACTAGCTCAATGGAAAAAGAAATTATCTTGTGGTTTAAAACATAAGCAGTAATCAACAAGTCTACAGAGTAAATTCATGTTATCAGGGTGACACAGAAATGCTTAAGCAGAAAATTTAATTTAAACTGGGTCTCAGGTGGGTCGTTTCTCCAGGCGACTAGCTGAGACAGAAGCAAATGCATATTCCACCTGGGCCAACAGTGACTGTAACGGGGCCTGCTCATTTCAGAGATGTTAAATGTGGAAGCACCTCATGCGTCAGGGAGTGACACCTCCTGATCACTTATTCTAGAAACAGTTAAGGTTCTACTGTGGGACAGCTGAGGGCTGGCTAGAACTGGGAATGAAGCAGTCACCATGTGCTATGGGTTCCTGCTCCCAACGGTCTTAAGTAGAACTTGACGCAAAAGGTTTTATACAAAAGACACAGCACTGAAAAGGAATCTACAGTGTCATTATGATTTAAGTGGGAGAATTAATCCAAATGGGTCCTAGATTCACATTAGATTCTGAATAAAGCAGTGACTCACATGCATACATATGGCAAAATCAGCAGCATCCTTCCTCTTACTGCAGCGAGGATGCAGGAAGAAGCAGCCAATCCTGCTCAGGTAGTTGTAGACCTTACAGTGGGCCGGAGGCTTCCAGTTGGTGTTCCCTCCTAAGATGTTGAGAACAATAAACAAGACTGTTGTTCAGAACAGGCATAAATGATGAGTCAAACAAAAGAAGCAAGAACAGAACAACAGACACAACTGAAAATTCCATAAGGAAAAACAAATACTAGGAAAAAAATGTTTCTAGAAAAAAAGTACCAAAGTAGAAGGCAGAACAGGCAGTTGCAGCCCAGGCATGACCAGTGTGCTGCTGAAACCTCAGCAAAGTAGACACCTACCCCAAGCCTGACTAGTAAGTGGAAGACTCACAGGGACGTTAAGCACAAGCACAGTGATGTGTGTGAAATTCCCTGGTGGTGTTCTACATGAACATATGCATTAGTGGATTTTTTACAAGTATGTTAAGGCTGCTCGCTGAATTTAAGTGGGCAGTGAGGAAGCTGGACTTACTAAAAGCCTTATCCAGGTCAGTGGGTTTCTATCTGAAATCCTAATCCTCTTCTTTGTACACGGTTTCCTATCAAATGTGGCAAAACCACCAATTTCATTGTACTGTGCTTTAATACTTTTTTTTTAAATTACAAATTGAAGGTCTCTGGCAACTTTGCCTTAAGTGGGCTTATCAATGTCATTAATCCAACAACATTTGCTAACTTTCTGTCACATTTTGATATACTCATGATATTTCACAATTTTCCATCATTATTACATTGTTATGGTGATCACTGATGCTACCATTGTAACTGCTTGGGTGCACCACAAACCATGCCCATACAAGACAGCAGACTTAACTGACAAATGTTCTGTACATTCTGATCGCTCCACCGACTTGCCCTTCACTGCCTTTCTCCCCTTTTGGGCATCCTACTCCCTGACACATAATATTCAAAGTAGGCCAGTTAATAACCCCACAATAGCCCCTAAGTGTTCTAGTGAAACAAAGAGTCCCACATTTCTCAAATTAAATCAAAAGCTAGCAGTGATTAAGCTCAGTGAGGAAGGAATGTCCGAAGACAAGACAGGCTTAAAGGCAGGCCTGTAGTTAGACGACCATTATATGATGACAATTTTATCTACCACTGTGGCCAAGAATCCCTTAAAAGAAATGCAATAGCCACACAGTCAACAGAGTCCGAAATGCAGTACTTGGATGCAATCTCAAAAAGGACAGAATGACCTCTGTTCGTTTCCAAGGCAAACCATTCAATGTCACAGTAATTGAAGTCTATGCCCCGACCAGTAATGCTGAAGAAGCTGAAGTTGAATGGTTCTATGAAGACCTACAAGACATTCTAGAACTAATACCAAAAAAAAAAAATGTCCTCTTCATTATAGGGTACTGGAATGCAAAATTAGGAAGTCAAGAAACACCTGGAGTAACACGTGCCTTGCAGTACAGAGTGAAACAGGGCAAAGGCTAATAGAGTTTTGGCAAGAGAATGCATTGGTCATAGCAAACACCCTCTCCCAACAACATAAGAGAAGACCCTACACATAGACATCACCAGATGGTCAACACCGAAATCAGACTGATTATATTCTTTGAAGCCATAGATAAAGAAGTTCTATATGGTCAGCAAAAACAAGACTGGGAGCTGACTGTGGCTCAGATCATGAACTCCTTATGGCCAAATTCAGACTGAAATTGAAGAAAGTAGGTAAAACCACTAGACCATTCAGGTATGGCCTAAATCAAATCCCTTATGACTGTACAGTGGAAGTGACAAATAGATTCAAGGGATTAGATCTGACAGGCAGAGAGCCTGAAGAACTATGGACGGAGGTTCGTGACATTGTACAGGAAGCAGTGACCAAGATCATCCCCAAGGAAAAGAAATGCAAAAAGGCAAAAGGGTTGTCTGAGGAGGCCTTACAAATAGCTGTGAATAGAGGAGACACGAAAAGCAAAGGAGAAAAGGAAAGATATACCCATTTGAATGCAGAGTTCCAAAAAATAGCAAGGAGAAATAAGAAAGCCTTCCTCAGTGATCCATACAAAGAAAGAAAGGAAAACAATAGAATGGGAGAGTCTAGAGATCTCCTCAAGAAAATCAGAGATACCAAGGGAATATTTCATGCAAAGACGGGCTCAAAAAAGGACAGAAATGCTATGGACCTAACAGAAGCAGAAGATACTAAGAAGAGGTGGCAAGAATACACAGAAGAGCTATACAAAAAAGATCTTCATGACCCAGATAATCACAATGGTGTGATCACTCACCTAAAGCCAGACATCCTGGAATGCAAAGTCAAGTGGGCCTTAGGAAGCATCACTCTGAACAAAGCTAGTGGAGGTGATGGAATTCCCATTGAGCTATTTCAAATCCTAAAAGATGATGCTGTGAAAGTGCTGCACTCAATATGCCAGCAAATTTGGAAAACTCAGCAGTGGCCACAAGACTGGAAAAGGTCAGTTTTTATTCCAATCCCAAAGAAAGGAAATGCCAAAGAATGTTCAAACTACTGCACAATTGCACTCATCTCACATGCTAGTAAAGTAATGCTCAAAATTCTCCAAGCCAGGCTTCAGCAATATGTAAACTGTGAACTTCCAGATGTTCAAGCTGGATTTAGAAAAGGCAGAGGAACCAGAGATCAAATTGCCAATATCTGTTGGATCACTGAAAAAACAAGAGAGTTCCAGAAAAGCATCTGTTTCTGCTTTATTGACTATGCCAAAGCCTTTGACTCTGTGGATCACAACACTGTGAAAAATTCTGAAAGAGATGGGAATACCAGACCACCTGACCTGCCTCTTGAGAAATCTGTATACAGGTGAAGAAACAACAGTTAGAACTGGACATGGAACAACAGACTGGTTCCAAACTGGGAAAGGAGTACATCAAGACTGTATATTGTCACGTTGCTTATTTAACATATTCAGAGTACATCATGCGAACTGATGACAAGCTGGAATCAAGATTACCAGGAGAAATATCAATAACCTCAGATATGCAGATGACACCACCCTTATGGCAGAAAGCGTAGAGCCTTTCTTGATGAAAGTGAAAGAGGAGAGTAAAAAAGCTGGCTTAAAGCTCAACATTCAAAAAACTAAGATCATGGCATCCGGTCCCATCACTTCACGGCAAATAGATGGGGAAACAATGGAAACAGTGACAGACTTTATTTTCTTGGGCTCTAAAATCACTGTAGATGGTGATTGCAGCCATGAAATCAAAAGACACTTCCTCCTTGGAAGGAAAGTTATGACCAACCTAGACAGCATATTATAAAGCAGAGACAATACTTTGCCAACAAAGGTCCATCTAGTCAAGGCTATGGTTTTTCCAGTGGTCATGTATAGATGTGAGAGCTGGACCATAAAGAAAGCTGAGCACAGAGGAATTGATGCTTTTGAACTGTGGTGTTGGAAGAGTCCCTTGGACTACAAGGAGATCAAACCAGTCAGTCGTAAAGGAAATCAGTCCTGAATATTCACTGGAAGGACTGATGCTAAAGCTGAAACTTCAGTACTTTGGCTACCTAATGTGAAAAGCTGACTCATTGGAAACGACCCTGATGCTGGAAAGACTGAAGGTGGGAAGAGAATGGTTGGATGGCATCTGAAGAGCTACACTCAATGTCATGCTGTTAAAGTGTTCTCAAAACACAGAGGATGAGATGGTTGGATGGCATCACTGACTAGATAGATGGACATGAGTTTGAGCAAGCTCCAGGAGTTGTTGTTGGACAGGAAAGCCTGGTGTGCTACAGTCCACGCACTCACAAAGAGTTGAACATGATGGAGCAACTGAACTGAACTGAGGCCCCACATCACGTTTTTCAGCTGGGGATCAGGCAAACAGATAGGTAATCCCCAGGGACTCTGACTTTGAAAGCCAGTGAGATTTGCTAATAGAAATTCCATAGGACTGGGGTAAACAGAGACTCTACTCTTGGAGGGCACAAACGAAACCGTGTGTCCACCAGGACCCAGGGGAAGGAGCAGTAACCCCAGAGGAAACTGAGTCAGACTTGCCTGGGAGTGTTTCAGGATCTCCTACAGAAGACAAGGGTTGGCAGTAGCCTGCCATGGGGAAAGGAGTAGTGGTAGCAGTCCTGATAGATCCATCTTGGTATAAGTTCTCTTAGAGGCTGCGATTTAGCCTTACCATAGAACCTATAGACTCTAGGACTGGGTGACTCAGGTCAAACAACTAACAGGGAGGGAGCACAGCCCCACCCATCAGCAGACAAGTGGATTAAAGTTTTCCTGAGTATGGCCCTGCCCATCAGAGCAAGACCCAGTTTTCCCCACAGCCAGTCCCTTCCATCAAGAAGCTTGCACAAACCTCTTACCCTCATTCACCATAGGGCAGACAGAAGAAACAAGAACTACAATCCTGCAACCCCCAAGAAGAAAACCACAGTCACAGAAAGCTAACCAAATGAAAAGAAACAGGATCATATCTCAGATGAAGGAACAAGATACATCCCCAAAAAACAACTAAATCAACTGGAGAATAGGCAACCTTCCAGAAAAAGAATTCAGAATAATAATAGCAAAGATGATCTAGGATCTTGGAAAAAGAATGGAGAAGATGCAATAAATGTTTACCAAAGACCTAGAAGAATTAAAGAACTAACAGAAATGAACAATACACTCAGTTCAGTTCAGTCACTCGGCTGTGTCCAACTCTTTGCAACCCCATGGACTGCAGCACGTCAGGCTTCCCTGTCCATCACCAACTCCTGAAGCTTGCTCAAACTCTAGTCCACTGAGTTGGTAATGCCATCCAACCATCTCCTCACTAGAAGGAATCAATAGCAGAATAACTGAGGCAGAAGAATGGATAAGTGACCTGGAAGACAGAATGGTAGAAATCATGCTGCAAAACAGAATATAGAAAAAAGAATGAAAAGAAATGAAGACAGCCTAAGAGACTTCTGGGACAACATTAACCACACCAATATTCTCATAATAGGGGTTCCAGAAGGGGAGAGAGAGAGAAAGAACCCAAGAAAATATTTGAAAAGATAACAGCTGAAAACTTTCCCAACATGAGAAAGGAAACAGTCAACCATGTCCAGGAGGTACAGA